GGTTACATGTCAGGGGTTACAGTTCAGGGGTTACATTCAGAGGTTACAGGTCAGAGGTTACAGGTCAGGGGTTACAGGTCAGGGGTTACATGTCAGGGCTTACATGTCAGAGGTTACAGGTCAGGGGTTACAGGTCAGAGGTTACATGTCAGGGGTTACATGTCAGAGGTTACAGGTCAGGGGTTACATGTCAGAGGTTACAGGTCAGTGGTTACATGTCAGGGGTTACAGTTCAGGGGTTACATTCAGAGGTTACAGGTCAGAGGTTACAGGTCAGGGGTTACAGGTCAGGGGTTACATGTCAGGGGTTGCATGTCAGAGGTTACAGGTCAGGGGTTACATGTCAGTGGTTACAGGTCAGAGGTTACAGGTCAGAGGTTACAGGTCAGGGGTTACATGTCAGGGGTTACATGTCAGTGGTTACATGTCAGAGGTTACAGGTCAGAGGTTACAGGTCAGGGGTTACATGTCAGGGGTTACATGTCAGAGGTTACAGGTCAGAGGTTACAGGTCAGGGGTTACATGTCAGGGGTTACAGGTCAGGGGTTACAGGTCAGGGGTTACAGATCAGAGGTTACAGGTCAGGGGTTACAGGTCAGGGGTTACAGGTCAGGGGTTACAGATCAGAGGTTACATGTCAGGGGTTACAGGTCAGGGGTTACAGGTCAGAGGCTACAGGTCAGTGGTTACATGTCAGGGGTTACAGGTCAGGGGTCAGGGGTTCAGATTTAGTACAACTACAGAAACAATACTTTTTTAGAACATTGTACAAACAAATATGGCAATTCACAATAATACACAAACTAACAGAGGGCACAGCAGAGCAAGAGTTAGAAATCAGAACATCAAGTAAATACAATACAGAAAAAAAAAATAATTAAACCAAAAACAATAAAGAAATAAACAATTAACAAGGGATAATATATTTTAGGATTAAGATGCGTTGGTGGGTAATTCCATTAGTAATTCATACAGGTCTTTGTAGGGGTCACCTGGAGTCAAATTATCAAGGAACTATGTTGGACTCTCAGTCCTCTGATGGGCCTTCGAATGGACAAGAACTCTGTTCCACTTAGAACTGTATTTAGGCCACCCAAGGCCACTTTCCTTCTAANCCTCCTACAGCTGAGTGTCCTACAGAGGAGACTCCTATATGAGAGCTTCCTACAGAGGAGCCTCTTACAGCTGAGTGTCCTACAACGTAGCCTCCTACAGCTGAGTGTCCTAAAGGAACCTCCTACAGCTGAGAGTCCTACAGAGGAACCTCCTACAGCTGAGTGTCCTACAGAGGAACCTCCTACAGCTGAGTGTCCTACAGAGGAGACTCCTACAGACTCCTACAGCCGAGCCTCCTACAGAGGAGCCTCCTACATGAGAGCTTCCTACAGAGGAGCCTCCTACAGCTGAGTGTCCTACAACCTAGCCTCCTACAGCTGAGCCTGCTACAGAGGAGCCTCCTACAGCTGAACCTCCTACAGAGGAGCCTCCTACATCTGAGTCTCCTACAGAGGAGCCTCCTACAGCTAAACCTCCTACAGAGGAGCCTCCTACACAGGAGCCTCCTACAGCTAAACCTCCTACAGAGGAGCCTCCTACACAGGAGCCTCCTACAGCTAAACCTCCTACAGAGGAGCCTCCTACACAGGGTGACAGACTCACACATTCGAAGGTGATGATCTTGGCGAGGTCTTCCTGGTGCAGCATCATCAGGTCAAACCACCTCCTCAGCAGAACACTTCTCTCCTGCAGGTCAGGGGTTACAGGTCAGAGGTCAGGGGTTACAGGTCAGGGTTTACAGGTCAGAGGTCAGGGGTTACAGGTCAGGGTTTACAGGTCAGGGGTTACAGGTCAG